CCAGCCTGGTCTACAAAGTGAGTTCCAGGACAGCCAGGGCTACATAGTAAGGCTTTGTCTCAAAACAACAACAACAAACAAAAAAGAAAGCAGGCTGAGCAAGCCATGAGGAGCAAACCAGTAAGCAGCACTCCTCCGTAGCCTCTACATCAGCTCCTGACTCCGGGTTCCTGCTCTGTTTGCGGTCCTGCTTTGACTTCCCTCAATGATGGACTGTTCTGGAAGTGTAAACTGAGATAAACTCTTCCCTCCCAAGTTGTTTTGGTCTTGGTGTTTCTTCCCAGCAACAGTCATCCTCACTAGGACCCCACTCAATTTGAGTTCCCTAAGAAACATATCAGGACATTGTTTTTAATTTATGACTCCTAGGTTGGCCTGGCACCGAACATGTAGCTAACGAGATGATAATCCTGAACGGCTTGTCTTTTTGCCTTTCCCTCCCAGGTATGACACTGTGCCCAGCTTTCCCTGGCACTGTGGAATATTCCTTTACACTGTGTAAATAATATATGCCGTATGCTATGACTGGTTTAATACAAAAGCTGGCTGGCCAATAGCTGAGCAGAATAAAGTTAGGTGGGAGAACCAAACTGAGAATGCTGGGAGGAAGAAGGCAGAGTCAGGAATCATCGGCAGATCCAGGGAGGAGCGAGATGAGCATGCCACACTGAGGAAAGGTACCAAGCCACGTGGCGGAGCACAGATGAGAAACATGGGTTAATTTAAATGTGAGCATTAGCCAGTAACAAGCCTGAGCTGTTGTCCGAGCCTTTACCACTAATATAAGTTTCTGAGCGATTACTTGGGAGCGGCTACTGGCACAGGAAAACTCTGCCTACCTGGTACTGCACCAAACCCAGGACTTCATGCTTGCTAGGAAAACTCTCCATCAACCGAGCTACACCCCTAGCCCCTGCACACTGTGGTTCCTCTGCCCTGTGAAATGCTTCGGATTCCAGAGTCTTGCAGCAACAAGAGGAGGTCAAGTATGTTCCCAGCCAACTTAAAGAGATGAAGGGGGGGGGGGGCTGGAGAGATGGCTCAGTGGTTAAGAGCATTGCCTGCTCTTCTAAAGGTCCTGAGTTCAATTCCCAGCAACCACATGGTGGCTCACAACCATCTGTAATGAGGTCTGGTGCCCTCTCTGGCCTGCAGACATACACACAGACAGAATATTGTATACATAATAAATAAATAAATATTTAAAAAAAAAAAAGAGATGAAGGGATCAAGACCGGGAAAAAGGTAAAGACATAAAGCTATAGAAGGGGAGAAAAGCGCCATAGGAAACCGTGGAACTGGGATGTTGCTATGGTGACGTAGCCTGCATGAAGCCCTAGGCTTAACACCCAGTACCACATAACCTAGATGTGGTGGGCAGCACCTATGATCCCAGCATCCTGGACGAGGAGAATCATGAACTCATTGTTATCTTCTGCTACACAGTGAGTCTGGGGCCGGCCTGGAATACGTGAGACCCTGACTCAAAAAGGAAAAAGGGCCTGACGGTGGTGGTGCAAGCCTTTAATCGCAGGACTCTGGAGGCAGAGGCAGGCGGATCTCTTGAATTAGAGGCCAGCCTGGTCTATAGTATAAGTACAGGACAGCCAGGGCTATATGGAGAAACCCTGTCTCGAATAACCAAAACTTAAAAAATTGAAGAAAAAAAAAAAGAAAAAGAAGGGAGAAAAGGAAAGAATAAAGAAAAAAGTGAAATAAATAAATAAGGAAATGAAAATGGGGCTGGCGAGATAGCTCAGTGGGTTAGGGTGTTTGCTACCAAGCCTGATAACTTGAGAATTCCGAGAATCCACATGATAGAAGGAGAGGACTAATTCCCAAAACCCGCTTCTTCTACAGCACTGTGACATTCACCCCCACCCACCCACACCAAATAAACAATAAATGTTGAAAGAAACGACTGTAGCCGGACATTGTGGCTCAGGCCCCAGTCCCAGTATCCAGGCAGCTAAGACAGAAGGACCAGAGCCAGGATACCTGAGATGTTGTCTCAGAAACAGGTGAACACTCCGGAGGCAGAGGCAGATGGATCTCTGTGAGTTCGAGACCAGCCTGGTCTACAGAGCTAGTTCCAGGACAGGCTCCAAAGCCACAGAGAAACCCTGTCTCGAAAAACAAAAAAAAAACAAACAACAACAACAAAAAAAAGAAACAGGTGAACAGAAAAAATGCAAAGGCTTGGACCCCAGCAAAATTCAGAGCAAACGAGAGGTGCCGGGACGTGCAGCGATCTACAGCCAGTCTATAAGAAGAGGCGGGTTTCTTGCAGCCGTCAGAAAGCTGCACAGGATGCGAGTTCACTGATGGGCCATCGTGACCTAAGGCCACATCTTGGCTTCGTGTAGGACGTGTGCTGTGTTCCTCTTGAGTGTGTAAAGTTTCCGGGGAGTATACAGCTGGCTCAGCTCCAGCCTTTGGTTGGGGGAGGGGAGTGACTGCCACCTCACAAAGACCAGCACCACCAAGGAGGAAACGCTTGTTTCTGAAGCTTCTACCTCAGTAGACAGAGCTGTGGGCTGTTCCTTTTCTGGCCATTTTATGGTACCAGGAGTCACTAACCACATAGACATGTTAAAGACCCCTTGAAATGGTCTTATGCTGGCAAGGGCCAGAAACACTAAAGTCCAGCAAGGTTGTCATTCTGGCCTCGTCATAAAGGCCACCTGGAAGGAGCAGGGCTTTACAGTTTTTCTTAAGACAAGATTTATTGAGTGCCCCTCCCCAACACGAAGATGTTTACTGTTTTTTTTTTCTTTTTAAAATGTGGTGTGTGTGCGTGCACGTGTGTATGTATGTGTGTGTGCATGCGTGTGTGTGTGTGTATGTGTCTGTGTGTGTGTGTGTAGGTCAGAGGACAAGTTTGAGAGACTTGATTCTCTCCTTCTACCTGTGGGCCCCAAGGATGGAACTCAGGTCATCAGGTTTGGCCGCAAGTGCCTTCACCCCGAGTCATCTTGCCGCCCTGAGGTGCTTATTCATATAAACCAGCTTAGCCCCCTGCACGCCACGGTTCTGCTGAAGAGTAGCCAGCTCCAGCAGAGCTAGGAGAACACTAAGTGATCTAAGTGACTCTGCCTCAAAGCGGGGAAAAGCAGCGAGCCTCCTGGTGATTGGAAGAAAAAGTAGTGACCTGTCATTGATCATTTATATTTTTCAGTTCTCGCTGTTCACACGTCTTTCCTGTTTGTTGTCAACGAAGCTGTCCCTAATCCCCCCAAACTGTCCTCACACAGGGAGTTGACAACGCTCATTCTAACTGAGTACAATTGACTTAAGAAGCAAACAGGGGGTGGGGACTTAGAGCCTTAAAAGAGCCACACTCCTGAGGACACAGCCCCACCCCTGCCCTGAAGTGCCGAGGAGGCAAGTGAGGGAAATGGCATTTTATAAGAGTCTAGCGCTGGGGCTGCCAACAGGATTAGCTGCGCATTTGTGGGCAGACTGCTCTCTCCTCTGCAGGGTTCTCCAGCCTACAGCAGCTGCAGTCCGGGACGCCTGGGGACCCGACTCCCCCGGGAGCGGGGAGTGGGCTATAAAAACCAGTTTTGTCTGGGAACAAAAGGCATCAATCAAGGCGCTGTCTTCGGCCTTTGATTTGGATGAGAAGGGGGGGGAGGAGGGGAGAACCCAGCCCCCTTCTGGGCATCTCTCTTTGCAGGCCAATCAACTGGCGGGAGCCTGACTGTGCGGAGGTCTTCTTCAGGCCTATCTTTGATGAAGTCACTCGTGTCTGTATCTGAAGCTGCCCTCTGAACCCACTGTAGAAGCCAGCTTTTCTGTAGGTCGGAAAGTCCCTGATGGCACTAACTTTTCAAAGGCATTATATAGTGAAGGAACCAAAGGAAGTAACACCCAAGGGAAGCAACTGAGGTCACAAATAGAACGGAGACCTGGGTCATGTCTGAGTCAAAGTTCAATCTAAATAGTTTTGACCAAGAGCTGACCGCATAAGAGCAGGGTCAGCAGTTTTGGGTACAAACTTCTCAAAAATATATTTGACAATTTCAGTTCAAGCTGATCAATGGTGTGATCTAGGCCGTGGTGGGAGGGTTATTAGTTCAAGGCTGGTCTAGACATTTAATCTCCAATCCCCTCATATCTGTCTCCCAGATGCTGGGATTATAGCCATGTACCACCATGCCCTGTGTTATATGGTGCTGGGAACGGAGCCCAGTTCTTCATGCATGCTAGGCAACTCTAGCAACTCAAAGGCATCTTCAGCCCTGACCTTGACCTTCTGATAGTTCTGCCTCAGCCTTCCAGGTCTGCTCTACCACAAGCAGCTTGTGGGGGGCCCATGGGTGCCATGGCACATGCGTGAATGTCAGAGGACAATTTTGTGGAGTCTTCTAACTTTACGTGAGTTCAGGGGCTAGAATCCAGGCTGCTGGGTCACACAGCAGGATCTTCAGCCACCAGGCCATGTCTGCTGCCTGCTTTGGTTCTAAGTCTCACTGTGTAGCCCAGATAGGCCTCCAGATTGTTTTCCTAGGCCTGTGACCCTATGGCGGGCTCCTGCATCTGTGCTGTAGTCATTTTCTCCTACAGATACATACACATGGACTGGAGAGACGGCACAGCAGTTAAAGGGCACTTGGGGTCCTTGTAGAGGACCCAGGTTCCACTCCTTGCATCCACTCGGTGGTTCACAAATGTAGCTCCAGTTTTAGGGGATCTGCTGCCTCTTCTGGCCTTCACGGGCACTGCACTAACATGGTATACAACTATGCATGCAGACAAATATTCATGCCAACAACAAATAAAGAGGGAAGTATTTTGAAAGTATTTTCGGGCTGGAGAGATAGCTGGCTTAGTGTTGGCGAGTGCACATGCTCTTGCAGAAGACCCTAGTTCCCAACCCTCGTGCCAGGTGATTTACCTGTAACCCCAGCTCCACAGGATCCAATGCCTTGGGCCTCCTCAGGTTTAGTCCTGTGCTCACATGCGGACACATACCCACACAAAGACACATACATGTTTTTTAATGTAAAGAAAAGCTAGTTTATTACTCATGTAATTACTTGAACCACTAGGAAGGAGGTGCGAAGCTTTTCACAGGGAGATAAGTCGCCGCTTGTCCCGCCAGCACACTAAGGCTCCTCTGGTATTGGAAAATGACACAGTTTAGGTTTGTTGGGATTATTTTTCAGCAGCCAATCAGCTAGCCAACCCTACGGAAGAAAGAAAAACTAAAGTTAATAAACATCTAGCTATTTCCTTTCTATGTATAATAAACATATAAACTAGAAAATTAAGTATCTTATTTTTTTTTAAATTTTATTTTTCGAGACAGGGTTTCTCCATAGCTTTTGGTTCCTGTCCTGGAACTAGCTCTTGTAGACCAGGCTGGTCTCGAACTCACAGAGATCCGCCTGCCTCTGCCTCCCAAGTGCTGGGATTAAAGGCATATGCTACCACCACCTGGCTAGTGTCTTTTTTTAAAAAGATTTTTAAGACAGAATCTCACAGCCTAGGCTGTTTGGAATTTACTCTGTAGGCCAGGCTGACTTTGAGCTCCTGGAGATCCAGCTGCCTCTGCTTCCTGAACTCTGAGATTAAAGGCACGTGCCACCCACCACATCTAGCTAAACAACTTTTTTGTTGTTGTTGTTTTGATAGGATTTCTCTGTGTAGCCCTGACTGTCTTGGAACTCACTCTGTAGACCAGGCTGGCCTTTTTTTTCCTTTTTTTTTTTTTTTTTTTTTTTTTGTTTTTTTTTTTT